TATTCACCTTCAGGCAATCAAAATCAAATGAAAGGATATCCAACTGGTCCCAAGAAGGAGCCCTGCTCATCACCACATATTTTCATCAATCATTAGAGTCACATGTGGCAATGTCATGCCTAAGGTTTCTGGTCCAAACTGTTTTCTCAAAGCCCAAACTAGTTTGGGAAATTTGGGCTTCTCAACATTTTTGATAAGCATGAACATTAAAAAAATATATGAATCAACTTGTTTTAACTTAAAACAACTTTAAAATAATTTCACCCTATTTTGGTTAATAACAAAAAGTAGCTTGGGCTTAAATTTTGCCCAAAGTAATTGGGCAATTTCGGCTACTAATAGAAGAAGTTTCAGCCAGAAACCTTGGGTCTTGGCACTTTGAGGCATGTGTAACATTTATTTCAAAATTTATAGTGATTTTTTGGATGTTCATTTTAATAATGTTACCATTAGTTGGAAAAGTAATTTCTACATTATCATCATCTATAACTTTGGTAATCACACCTATTGTTCCATTGCAGATGCCATTTTCAAAACAGCTTACCAACAAACTCACACTTTAATACTTTAATAGTAACTTCTTGTTATCATATAACATTATCTGTATCAAAAAAAAATTATTAATTGTAAATTTTAGCCATAATTTAAAAAATTTTGTTTATTGTTTAAAAAATAGATTCTGTTTGATTATAAATAAAATAATAATAATATTCAAATAACTTTAGTTATGCAGCTGCAGGACATTACATAACAATTTAAAAACCTTTTTGACATTTTTTTTATTTTACCCAATAATAATAATAATAATAAGTAATAATTTTGGTTGCGCAGCTATGTAAACAATTGAAAAAACGTCTTTTCGGATTTTGACGTATTTTTTTTTATTTTACATAATAAAAAGTAATAATTTTTAAATTTGTTCCAAGTATATATTCCTCAAAAATTAAACAATTGGAATAATCAAAATCTTATTTATTATCAGTCAGACAAGATTTCATGTTTACTGACTTTACTATATTAATAATATGGCTGCTGCAAACAGATACAGTTGCTGTAAATAGCTACGGCTGTTGCAAACAGATATGGATGCTGCAAATATTTATGACTGCTGCAAATTTTATTTTTACACATAACTTCACTGTAAATGAACAACCAACTAATTGATATGACCAGTGTTGGGAATTGGACCTGCCCAATTCATTTAACTGGACATTTGGACCTGGTCCAATTGGACATTAACCACCAGTTTCACAAAAAAAAATTTAAGGTTTAATTTTTTTAAAATGCTGCCCATAAAACATTCTCTCACTGAATATATCACAGTATTAAATGAAAAGGCCAACAAATCTAATCATTTTGCACTTTGTTGTTTTTGTAAAACTAAATTAACAAATATTAAAAAATTGATAACTTCTCACTTAAAAAATTATACAACCTTCAAGGAACAATATACTGAACATGAACAAGAGAAAATTCTTTTTCCTGGAGATGAGGATAATCAATATGATGGTGGTAATTTTTTAGTAACTTTTTTTTATTGAGATAAATATAATTATTAAGCAAAATAAAACTTGCAATTTTATATTTTGAAGTTCTAAACTTGATTCTTCATCTTCAATATGCACCAATGAATCTTCAAGTTCATCATCAGCCTTGCCTGTAGAAAAATCAGGTAATAAAAAAAGAAAAATAAGTAATTATTTTGCTCACTCTATTCCTTTTTCTAAACAAGATAAAGAACATTGGGAGAAGCTTGTATTGAATTCTACCATAGATAATGGTTGGTCATTCAGATGGGTTGACAAAAAATCAAGTCAAATATTATTTAATTTTGCAACTGCAGGATTGAAATTACCAAGCCATAAAATATTGGCTGGTCATATTTTAACTATATAGTAATCCTGATAAAATCAGGAATAGTTTAATTGATACTGCACAGAAGGATTTTTTTGGTGTTACAATAGGCTTTGATGGGTGGAAAAACATTAAAAAGCAGGAGATTTTAGGTTCAGTTTTAATTACTTTACATGGGCAAGTTTTAATTTGGGGAAGGATCACTTATTGGTCAAACAATAGATTTAGGCCAAATTGTGAAAACAAGACATCCACTTCTTAATAAAAAAACCAAGTGGAAGTTGAATGATATTTTTGAATTGGAAAAAATTGAACCTCCAATATATTTAGCTTCATTAAGTGGTATGTTTTATTTTGTTTATTAGTGTTCCATGCCGCAATCCAAAAAAGGAAACAAAATGGTTGTGAAGGTGGTTGCAACCAGTGGTTGCAATCGTTT